CATGACGTACAGGGAGATGTACGAGACTGTGGAGAAGGAGCCAAGCACGTAAGGCCATGTGTGACTTTCATCACTAGCTGTAGAAACACTTGATGTGATATTAATCTAACTGTTGCCTCTCAATCTCAATGTCAGGTACAGGAAGTGGCTCAGGAAGCAGTCTGTCAGGAGGCCCGGGTCCCAACTGGCGCAGCTGAAGGAGTATATCGACAGAAGGGACAAGGAGAAGCAGCCTGTCGCCTCCTCACGCCTCCTCAGCTGCATCAGCAGCCTGTCGCCTCCTCAGCTGCATCAGCAGCCGCCACCTCCCGAGCTGTCTCCCCCTCCACTACTTCCCCCCCAAATAGCAGAGGAAGAGAAAGCCAGCGGTCCTGTGTATGTATCATGTCAGTGGAGTGTTACTGTCAGTCAGGGGTTGTGTAATGAGTGAACATTTGTTCAATTCTGTATTCATTTGACTAATCACTCATTTATGTACTATGTATATTTTCAATGTAGTGTTTTTATATATATTGTTCAAACTATTTAAAATAAAGTTTTCTAAAAAAGCAAAAGGACATCTCCTTCCTTTTTGAAACATGCTGAACTTCAATTGAAGTGCAACAACAGCAGAGGAAGAGGGTTGGAAACTACAGGAAGTAAATCCAAATAGATATTTAAGTTTGAACTCTTTATTTCAAAAATATATTTACATATATACAGCATACAGCTTATTGTGTTCAGTGTTATTGGAGGGAGTCCAGCCACTCCTCGGGCCTCCTCCCTTTCGCCAAAACAGGGCATTAGCTCACTCTTTCCCCGCTTGGCTTCACCAGCAGTCTGTGCCCCGTCTCCTTTATCTTTCTGAGCCCACAGAAGGAGCACTTGTTCTGAGACGATCCCAGAGGTGAGGAGGATCTTCTCCTGGGCCATGGTCCACCTCTTGTGCCTGCAGAGTGAACACAGAGGATTAATAAGAGATGTTGTCGGGGCCTCAGGAGATTGTCCTGTGTGAATGAACAGACTCACCACTGAGAGAGGGTCTGCTTGTTCACCCCAAACAGCTGGAGGGTCGTCCTGGCTACGAGCGCTGGACATCTGTATACCGTAGCTCTGACCTGGTCGTATGCCGTGAGCACCAGAGTCCACCGGCTCCGGAGGAACCCCCACTGTGTTCTGCTGCTGGGGATCAGCTGGCAGAGGAGGATGAAGATGTCCTCCACCAACCGGCTGGTGTCGGGCCACGTGGCGGGGACGCTGCCTGTTCCCACCATGCAGCTGGAACCAGAGGAGAGAGGTGGGGACGTTCATGGTATCAGTGGCCCCCTTGAAAGCCTCCACCGTCTCTCCAAGGAGACGCTCGGTCTCCTGCACCCAACGCGTGCGGCGGCTGCAGTGCCGACCCATCTCCCACCGTCCTTCTGGACTCGTCCGCCTGCGGGGCCGTCTCCAAGAGGGACAGGTCCTCCGGGTCCCACTCAAAGATGCAGCTGGAGAGACGCCGCATGAATTCGGGGTAGAGGGGGTGGCTCTCCGACGTCACACCTGCTGCCAGTCGGCATATAAAATGCCAGATGTCCAGCCTGACAGCTAGGTGTGGCACAGCAGGGAAGGGCAGCTGCAGTGCAGGTGCCTCCGTCCCTCCGGCAGCAGTCCCTGTCCACATGCAGGACCTGTGGAGGCTCCTTCCCTGCCAGCTGGTACCTCTCCTGCAGGCCCCGCGTCTTGTCTCTCAGGCCGTAGCCCTCAGCGGCCGTCAGCACAGACATCAGGACCTGCCCCAGCTCGTTCCCCAAGCTGCTCATCCACAGAGCGGTACCAGCGTCGGCTCCCGCCAGCTTCTTGGTCACCTGTGTCAAATGATCATATAAACATTTAAAAACATATAGTCTTATACTCTGATTGCCTTTTACACTGTTACATTGTATTGTTAGTCTTGTATATGTGTTTAACAGAGACAGATGTGAAGGGTTTACATTTCAGGAGGGTGAAGGTGATTTGAGAATGGGTAAAGGACTGGGGGGTTTAACGGTTTAATGGTGGGATGTTTAGATGATGCCTCAGAGAATGTATGGGTGGGACTGTGAGCTGTGTTCTGGGTGCAGAAACTCTCTCTCCTCTGAGGATGAAGCTGCTCTGATTTCACTTGTGTATTGACTTTCTTTATTACTTTATTAGATATAACAAAATAAAAACTTTTTATTTTTTTATTTATCAGTTTCTCTTAAGACGTTCCTCCACAACCTGCAGGGGAGAAGAGGGTCTCCTCCATCAGTCAGGGTGCACCCATGGAACCTACAGTGTACATAAGTAACATTACATTTCTCACCTTCTTGGTGGAGTCCAGGACGAAGGTGGACAGAAGCCAGCCGCTGCTGAGGACAGGCACCATCTGTGGTGGAGGCTGAGGAGGAGGCATCTGCACACCTGCAACCTCAAACTTCCGGCAGGTGTTTTGGTCGTGGATGCTCCTCCTCATCCACTCTGCCGTGTGCTGCTCCACCAGGAAGGAGTGCAGCCGGCTGGCGCTGTTGCCGAGCGTGCGCCCCTTCATTTGAGCCAGCACCTTCCGGTCACAAGAGAGCCTGCAGCACCAACACAGACGCAGAGGTGAACACCAAACCATCTCAATTTCCTTCAAACACCACTGTGTCCAACAGCGTGATGTTCACCTGTAGGTCAGCACAGCAGGGAAGAGCAGCTGGTGGTCCAGGTCCAGCTGGCTCCTGATGCCCGCAGACCAGCTGGCACACTTCGTTGTGGAGAAACTGGGACAGAAAGGTTTATTGGTGTATCTGCTACTGCTGCTACTTATAATCATAAATAAAGTACTTGCATTATTTTACAATGTCTATTCAACCAAAGTATCAAGCACACACAGAGTATTCTTGTAAATGTATCAGTACCTGCACTCCAGGTACTCCGTCCCCATGTAGTACCAGCCGTCCATGTCCAGAACTCTGCGCACGGTCTTGTACAGACCGCCACCCGTCAGCTTGTGTGCGCAGTTTGGACACTTCAGGTGGTACTTCCACCTCTTGTACGGAGCCCAGAGGAAGAAGGGCCGCTGGAAGAAAGCATCCGGGCAGGGCCGCTGGGAGTACTTCGGCCAGGGGCCGGGGGGTTGTGGCCACAGCTGGAGCTCCGTGGACAGGACGGGCCTCCCTGCCCTGTCAGCCACAAACAGAGCCCTGCTGACCCACTCGTGCTGCTCCGCAGGGAGGCTGCAACACACACACAGGTCACTGAGCTGCAGCTTCACACTACACACTGATACTAGATGTTTACAACAACATTATTACAGACCTGAGGGGGAGGAGTGACTAGTCGCAGAGGAGGTGGTGCCTGAGTGGCCAGAGCTCTCTGCTGCTGGGCAGGAGGAGGAGGAGGAGCAGATGCTGTGCACAGCAGAAAAACACACTTGACATACCAAATAGATTTATTATACAAAGCTTAATAATGACACGAATAACACCGTGTTGCTGTTCTTCTCCCTGCATGTTCCAAATTTCTGACCAATGGCTGTCCAGGGTTCTCCCTGCATGTTCCACAATTCTGACCAATGCAAGGCCAGATAGGTTCCATTATAGAGAATCAAAGTTTTGGCGTCCAATGGGTGAGCCGGATTTCATTCCGAATTCTCAGCAAACTCTCCTCCGGCTGCCATTGTTTTTCAAGGGTCTGTACACTGACTGACTTCCAACTAGCGACACTGTGAGTACAATGTGCATTAATTATGAGCAAATATGCGTGTAAAAACTGTTACAAACCTACTTCTATGTCCGACATTAGACATACTGAGTTCACCGTGGTGTTTGTACGGTACTTTGTGAACCGCTGAGTTTGTTTTCCTTTAGCTAGCGGCTAGGCGGGACGCTACGGAGCACAGCTATCCGCTCTCTGAAGCTTTTAGAGCCGACAGGGTGTGTGTGTGTGTGTGTGTGTGTGTGTGTGTGTGTGTGTGTGTGTGTGTGTGTGTGTGTGTGTGTGTGTGTGTGTGTGTGTGTGTGTGTGTGTGTGTGTGTTTTATATTTTATTTTATTCTGTGTTCTTCATTCTATTGAATGTTAAACACCTGGCAAGGTCGGAGATCAGTGGGCGGAACCTCTGAA